AAGTTATGTGAATGTACACGCACTCACTCTCGCTCTAGCACACGCTGTCTCTCAAAATATCTTATTTTACCGTACTTAATTATTTTTGGACCAAAGTTGACCACAGTAACTGAAACCTCAGGAAGCAAATCATGGATAAAGGGGACTACTGTACACAGAAAGGCATCACAAGTCTGCCATTACTATACCCAGCCTCCAAATTCCATTTCATTTCACTAAAGAGTGTGTAGAGGTCACTTACCTTGCCCCACCAAAATAGCCATCCTGCATTTTTCGGAGTGCTGCCAGGATACTTGAATTCAAGCTGGTCCCATCTTCATCTTGAAATGAAAAGAATTTTAAAACAATCTTTGTGGTTTTAACTTTGAATTAGGGGGAAATCTTTCAAGTATTTCAAATTAACATTCCGGTGGTGATGGTACAAATGAGACAGTCCTCATTGACCACCCTGTATTTCAACAGTTCATCTGAGAACCAATAACACTGCAGAATGGGCAAATGGTAAGGGATAATGACCAGTAGACAGAGTTCCTCAAAGGCATTATCTTATTTATCATAAGTACTCGGCACCATGCCTGATGGCAGAATGCTTAATGACTACTGAATGCTGACAATAATAACAGCAACTATTTGTTGAACGTTATGTGCCAAGCACTAGGCTAAACATTCTATATCCATTGTCTCATATAATGAGCCTTGGTTTACATGTGTGCATATGGGCATAAAAATATCTAGAAAGCTAACAATTATCTGATTTTATGTGGAAGGAATTATACTACAAATACTCTTTTGTGATCCATTTTTCCTAACTTATCCTTTGTAATAACTAAAAATGATTCCATAGCAAATATTTACATTGTTTTATATTATAATCAATATTGTAATGAAGACCATTACCTATATCTTTATACACTTACTCTATTATTTCCTTAAATACTTACGAATAGAACTTAGGACAAAGGGAACATTTACTAAAAAGATTTATAGAGACTGCTAAATTACCCACTGAAAGAGTTGTGCCAATGATATTTCCACTAACAGTA